AGTTTCCAAAGCTGCAATCTTCATGGAAACAGACTGCCTCATCGTTCTCCCATGGAGTACATGGTGAGGTCGAACTGCCAACCTCCCGGTTAACAGCTGACTGCATTAACCACTGTGCCACCAGGGTTTCTAAGAAACACCTCGGGACTTCCTAATATCCCACCAAATAACTTAGCACCATCTGTATTTTCTATGCCCAACTACTCAAGGAATGATCCATAACTTTATAAACTGCCTAGAAAGTAAAGTTCCACAACATGAACAGAAAAGTCCGCATCTCCTACTACTCAAAAACACAACATTGAAGGCAAAGGAACAATCTAGAAAATAATTTCTTTCCATTGGGGAAAAAAAAAAAAAACACACAATAACAAGAAAAATCAGAAATAGTCTCCAAATGTGGTTTTTCCCCTTGGGGAACTTTGCTCATGTGTTCAGCAGAAACAGTGCAGAAGAGAGATTTGAGTCAACTACACAGAGGTTTCTAAGGCCACTAAGTTAGGCCTTAACTAACTGTCCATCACATCCCTTAAAATCATCTTGACCGGAAACAGTGGACTCAAAACTTCTAGTGGTTAAACCAGGCCCTTCTGCCTCTCCCTTGATTGGCTAGTGCTAGGAAATACTCCCCAGCAATGTATTTGTGAGAATTCAGTCCTCCTCATGGCAGCATGTCAAGATGTCATAAATGGTGATTTATTATTTCTCCAGAGTATCCAAAAGCTGCTGACCTAGGAGAGTCTGACAAACAAAGGCCTTGTTTACAAAGGAAGACTTCTAAAGGAAAAAAATAACCAAAAACACCAGAGGCTAATGCCACTTTTATCATTTATAAAACACTTATCTTCTATGGTCTTGCTACAACACATAATAAGCCTTTAAAATGGAATGTCCAAACATCACAGTAATCTGAGAGGGATCACAATTATGTCCTGCCAAAAAAAAAAGAGAGAGAGAGATAGGATTTTTTATACTGATCTGTAGAATGACTTATCTTAATCAAAGATTAAGTTTTAAATAATTAGCTGCCAAAGTACTACTTCCTAGGTCTATTCTGTCAGGAATATTTTAAGCAGAATTCAAGCATTCACAATATAATGCCAGCTGAGGCACTTTTTCTTTTTTTATATTTTTTGGTCAATTCCAAGCCTCAGGTGTTGGTCAAAGCACTTTTCAAGAAACTTGACAAGAAATGCTCACAAACCACTTGAAAAACGAACAACAGAAAAGATCTAAGGCTGCTTTGAACATACGCTTGTGGTGAGTATTTTCTGTGAGAGGCACCGCAGTGCAGCCAGTCCGGATGCTGGGATGCAGCTTCTCAGTGGAAGGCTGCACTGATGGAGCTCTCCCTCACCTGGACCAAGTCTTCAAGGGTTCTGATACCCCAAACTCCTCATTTATTTAAAAATGAGCTTTAGGAAGACGGCATCTCTTCTTCATGCCCCCAACAAAGTAGAAAGACCTCTGAGCTACAGCTATTTCTTTCTCAGTCTACTTCAATAAATATCTTTTGAATAGAATAGATTGCAAGGGAGCTTTAAAAAAAAAAGTCCAGGAGAATAAAAGGGCAATTCGATTTCTAAAAGAGAAAGTGTGTCCCTATTTGCATAACAATGCCGCAACTGGGATTCAAACCCGCCACAACTCTGAACACTTCACCAGAGTGCAAGATCTAGCTGGGAAGCCTAGTCTAGTGTTAGTAAACAAGTCTAGGATACCCTCCCCGCCCCTCCAAAAAAAAAAACCTGATGGAAAATCTTTCTGAAAACATGTGTGTGTGTGTGTGTGTGTATACATACATATATATATATATACATTTTACACACATAGCAATCGGCAGAGCCTTTATTTTCATAGAGCTGTCAATGGTTTCCGAGTCTTAGGTGGCTGACCAAGAATTTTTATTCTACTCGACATGCAAGCAACACCCTTTTTGTTCCTACAAGCAAGGCACACAATCAGGTGTAAGAAAAAAGTCCTCTGAAATGGAAGTTGAAAATTTAACTCTGCTATAAATAGCGCATGGATGTTAAAAATAACCAGCCAATGCAATAAACAAGCAAACGTGTATAACTCCTTCACATTCTACCTGACATTACACCTTCAATAAGTGCTCAGAAATACGTGTCTCCTTAATGACCAACCGACATTGACACTGCCCCATTAAATACTAACCCGAGCCACTTGCTTTGCAAAAACCTCAACCTCCACCAGTCTAAAGAAGGGGGTAGGGGGGAAGGAAACAACCTTGTAAAACTGTCCCAAAAGTTATATAAACAAATGAGGGAAGCAGCTCGGCGTGGGCTCTGCACCCATGTGCTACTAAAATTACATAACAAACGGTGCAGACATTAACTAAGGAATGGATTCTGCACTACACCCCAACTCCCTCACCTCCCTCCTTCCCGAAAAAAAAAACCCAAACGCCTAGCAAGACCAACTGGACGGCTTTGAGCATTGATTTTTTGGCTGGAGTAAATCCTGCGAGAGTTTGAGGCGCATTTAGGCCCAAAGTTTGAACGTGTAATAGCCCCAGGGCGCAGCGACTTGCACCACTCCCCCGACCTGGAGGAAAAAGGACTGACAGTGGCAGACGAGGCCTGCTTCCCCCCTCCCCGGGGCCTCCAGCTGCAAAGTTTTCCACGCCATCGATCGCAGCACCCGCAGCCCACGTCCCCCGCCGGCCTGACTTTGCAGGAAAGGCGAGCCAGCGGGAAGAGCGGAGGGGGCCGGCGGGGAAAGCGCTGTAAAGCTCAGCGCACAGCAGGCGGCGGCGGCGCAGGCTCCTTACCTGGGGGCGCGGAACAAAAAGCGGCACGGGGCTCTCGAGCTGCCGGAGGCGACGCCGCGGTAGCCGGCGCGGGGCTCGGTGGCGAGCGCTAGGCCCGTGCCCCGGGCCCGGCCCCCGTCGCTTCCTCCTTGGCGCGCGTCATGTCACCGCGATCAAACATGTCTGTGCGCTTCGCCGCGGTGACTTCCTGATTCTCGCCGCCCGCGCGCGCACACACTCACACTCACAGCCACGCGCACACGCCGGCCCCCGCCCGCCTCCCGGGCCTCCCCGGCTCCGAGCGGCCGCCCGCGCCGGCTCCCCGTGCCCGGCACACACTCACACTCCCGCGCGTACCCGCCGGCCGCTGGACTCGCCGCCCCTTCGCCCCGCACCGCGCTTGGCCGCCCTGCCAAACTTTTTTTTCCTTCCTGATCCACGGCCAAGTTCCCGTTGCCCGGCCCCACCCCCGGCAGCCGGGCTGGCCCCGCGCTCACCACCAGCTGCCGCGCACGGCCACCGAATCACCAGCAGAAGGCGAGCTAGGCGGCGGTGGCGAGCGCGCAGCCACTGGCAGGAGGCGATTTCCCCGCGCGCACCGGAAACCGACCCCGAGTGCCCGGGGCAGGGCACGGGGGTCCCGGGAGCCGGTTCAGCTACGCCCGCCCCGCGCGGGGCGACGGCGCCCGGCTGCGTGGCCTGGTGCGGGCCACCCCGGGTACCCGACACGGCGTGCGCCCTACGGCTGGAGGAAGCCGAGGGGCGGGAGTGCCGGCCCGGTTATTTGGGGAAGTGCATCGCGACACCTTTGCAGATGGCATGGCCGTGTTTTGCAACGCCAATGGGAAGAGGGCAGGCGGCCAGGTGGTGGGGAAGAGCTGAGGAAGGGGCAGACCCGGTTGGGATGGAAATAAAGCAAACTCGAAAGCAGAGAGAGGAGGAAGGGGTGCATGTCATCATTGGAAGGAGGCACCCACCGGGTCTCCCCGCCTCCTGCCCTCTCTACCTTCCCCCCCCCCCCCCGAACGCCACGGCCGCTGCCCGGCTGCGCTCCGGTCCTGTTTGTGACAGGCTGAGAGGATTATCCGGATCATGGCCTCCCGGCCCGCAGCCGCCGTACTCTCTCGGGCCCCCAAGCGCCCCCAGCTCCCGGACGACCACGGGCGCCCCAAGCCTGCAGCTCCCACGGCGCTGGCTAGGGGACGACCCTAAGAAGAAGAAAACAGACCCGGGAAGAGGGAGGGCAGTGAAACCGAGCCTGGCGGGCACCTCTGACCTCCCTCTCCGGGCCTCTCCCTCTCTCCCTCCCAGCTTGCAGCCCGAGCCGGACACCCTTAACTTCAACGCCCAAGCCCGCGCTGCCGCGAGGAACCCAGCGCCGGGACGGCCGCAGCACCCCAGGCGCAGCCCCCCGGTTGTCCCCGTGCCCACAGGCCTGCCCACGGTTCAAAACCCCCATCCCTGCCCGAGGGAACGCGGAAAGTGGAGGTGACACTTCCGATTCGGCACGCACCGGCCCCGCGGTGGTGGCTGTCGCTTCCCCTGCGCGCCAGATCCAGCTCGCCCGCCGCGATCCCTCGCTAGCGTCCCAGCAGCCCGAGCCCTTTAAACAAGTCCCCGGGAGCGGGTGGCAGCAGCGCTCGCTGGCGCCCCGCTACCCGCTAGCTCCTCGCCCTCCCGTGTCCCTTCCAACTCATCCCGGGTGGATTTCTCGGGATGGACGGTCGCGTTTGCATCCTCCCCCTCTGTCTTCCTGTCACCCCACCCTCCCCACCAGGTTTTTAAGGGGCTGGGGGCATTGCAGCCTTGGCAAGTGTGTGTGTGTTGCAACCTTGACTTGGCAGCGCATCGCGCACTGTCTCCCCAGGGTCAAGGCTATGGTTTGGTGTTTGTTGTCTCTCCTTGCCCCCTTTCAAGTCGCAGCGATTTATGTTATTAGCACGGCCAGGCTCGGTGGAAACTTTCCCGTTTCTTCCACGGCCGCCGGGAGCTGTCGTTAGCGCATTCCACCTGAGGCCCGCGGGGAGGAGGCGGGCTTTTTTGTTGTTGTGGCGCTCGGCCCGCCTGTTTGTTTTGGTCTCTGTGCATGCACAATAAATAATCATTAGGATCATAATGCATAATCCCCGGCACAGGCGACGGGGCCCGCGGGTTTGCGCCGCCGCTGCGGCGGCGGGGAGGCCGGAGGGAGGAGACCGCGGAGAAAGGAGTTGTAAGTTATATTTACCTTGCTCGCGCGGAGTGTGCTGGCTGAATCCCTTCCCTCTCTGAGTCACCCAGAGTACAGAAATAGAGCGAGCGAGGACTCGATTATGAATATGACTTCATTGATGACAGCCGTCCCCTCCTCTTCCTAAACTCGGGCTCCGCCCCGCGTCCCACCCTCGCCGCCTCCGCGGGCGCCGGAAGACGCGCCGCAGTTGGCCCTGCGCGCCGTTCCTCCCTGCGCGCCTGGGCGCGGGTTGGTGAGGCGGGCCTGTCACTCGCGCCGCTCAGCGACTCCGGGCGCGCGGGGGGAGAAGGGGGCGGTGTGCAAGAATGTGGCTCCAGACAGCTCGGCCGTATGCGTGGATCCGTGTGTGTCTGCAAGGCGCCGGCTCGCTGCCGCGCTTGTGCCTGGGGCAGATCCACTGCGCAGGACGCAGCTGGCCCCCAGTTTGCTGGCTTGGGGCGCCCGCAGCCGCTTCCTCGGCAAGCCCTCTCTTAGGGCGCCGCGGTGCCCCTCCGGAGACGCCGCGAAAGGGAGGGCAGCCGTAGTAATAGCGCGTAGTAGTTTGGGGTATGTGGAGAAGGTGCTGGAATTTAACTGTGCCTCCGCCTGCCAGAGCTAGCCTGCAGAAAGAAAGGGAGGGTGGGGAGGGCTCCAAGTGGCACTGAATTGTTGGTGGCCCAGTGTTGACCAAGGGGAAAAGGGGCGTTATCCTGCCGATGGAAACTTTTTGTCCCCCACCCCCCCATCCCCCGCTGGTGTAATTATAAATCTGCTCCTTTTTTCCCCCAGTAAAAAGGGAGTCGGGCACAAAGAACATTCCTGCCAAATCTCTTCTCTAAAGGACTGCGAGCTTCCAAATGCCAGCGAGGAAGAAACAGCTGAGAGGCCGAACGCCTTATAAATAAATAAACCTTCCCTAACTCCTGTGAGTCAGAATCGACTCCACGGCAGTGGGTTTGGTTTGGGTTTGGAAGCCCTCTGTTTACTCCGCGAACTCCACACAGCACTTTAACCTTCCCTTGCCTGTCATCTTCGCCTAAAATATATGGTAAACAACCCCATGGACGCAAGTGGGCTAGGGGACAGTTGAAGAATGGAATCTGCTTATGATTTAAGAAGGGAAATAACTCACTTATTCACTGCAGACCTTCATGTCTTCTTCCCCACCCCACGTTTAAGACCAATTAAGGCTACAGACAGTAAGCTGTTTGAGACCACTTGTTCCAATTTTTACTTGAAAACCAGTACTTTGGCCGGACCCATACGTCTCTGTTTGCCGAGACCATTTTATTTTTAGTTTTACGAAGTGTGAAAGAATGTTAGGAGATTTTAAATTAAGAGCCTATTATTTTAGACTCAGATTAATGTAGGTGCTTGACTCTTAAAATTAAAACTATTTCTACATAGTGCTGTTATGAAAAGTATGATTTATCCCTTATTTTGTAATGTAATGGCTTAAATTAGTCATTCAAAGTACACCGTGACTATTTGGTTGAGAGTTTTTTTTCCCCTAGAGTAAAATCCTGTTTTAAGACCATTTTACTGTTGCAAAATTGACTCTGTTGGAGCAACCAGGTCTGAAATTCAGCTCTAGGATGCTTGAAACTGGGCTGAATACGTTGAAACAAGAGGCAATGGAAAGAATTCCAAATGCTCCTGTGGTCATTAAGTGGCAGGTATTGTTTACATAGCTGGATCACTGCTAGCAGAGGCCCAGTCTGCAAGGGTGGCTAGGAGCTCTGGTGGCATAGTACCTAAGGCATTTGACTGCTAACCCGAAGGCTGGTGGTTCAAACCCACCAGCCACTCCCCAGAAGGAAGGTTGGGCAATCTACTTCCGTAGTGGTACTGCCTCAGAAACCCAAGGAGGGGTTGACTCGACTCCATGGTGGTGGGTTGGGTTAGGAGTGTCAGTTTTCACCCATTCTAGATTTTTCCAAGGCCTTGTTAGCTGCTTGTTAACTTTGTTGTTGCTATGTGCCATGGAGTCAGACTCATAGCGACCCCTCTTTGGGTTTCCAAGGCAATATCACTTCAGAGTAGATTGCCCAGCCTTCCTTCCAAGGAGTGGCTGGTGGGTTTGAACAGCCAGCCTTCTGATTAGCAGTCAAGTGCCTTAGGCAATGTTCTGGTTACCTA